ATCCGTGCGCCCTAAAACGTGACTGGAAATTTGTATCCATACATACATACACACACACACATACACACACACATACACACACACACATCCATTTTTTCTGAGGTATGCCAAAATGTTCAGAAACCTTCAAAACGTCGAGAAATGTAAAAATTTTCAATTCCGATTTTCGGCCCATTACAATAACTTACCCTACGGGAAGTTAAGTCAAAACTTTTTTCAAAATGTTTTTAATTTTGTAGTTTTTCATTATTTTTCCAAAAAAATGTCCTTTGCTAATATGTTACAAGTCTATTTTTTATAAATAAAAATATTTATAGTATATTTTTTTGAGTGTTTTTGTCCTGGTGGTATGTACAATGTTTCTCTATGTTTATAATTATTTTATATTTGTTTTATATTAGTAAAATGTTCAAATTTATTGTAGTTGCTGAATGATGACACGCATCTGGTGTCGAAACGTATAAATAACAGTTTTTAATACTTTTTTACATTTTTTATTTTGACTAATGGGCTGCTAGATACTCTGAAAGATGTTTCAACGTCGAACAAACTATCAAGATATATATATATATATATATATATATATATATATATATATAAATTAAATCAATGTATTAATTTATCATGTTTAATTTATTCACATTCATAATCGAGTTATTGTTGTGCCATTATCTTTTTTATTGTAGAGTCCACTGCTTGTATTAATTATTTCAAGAAATAAATGGCATGAAGAAATATTTATAGTTGTAGAAATATATATATATATATATATATATATATATATATATTAATGTATTAAAAACCGGTTAAAACTGACCTTGATTACAACAGGTCACCGTTCGAATATATATATATATATATATATATATATATATATATATATATATCTGCTAAATCATGTTGACATATGAGGTTTTCAGACTCATAAAAAATTATATATATACATATAATTATATATGTATATATGTATTCTTGAGATTTATTGTTCAACACCGATCTATAAAAAATATTTTATTTATACATTTAAACACTAAGTACAGGTAACCCTCGTACAACACGGTAGTTACGTTCCAGAAAACTAGCGTGTTATTAGAGACAAAAAACTAGTACAAAAACAAAGGCGGAGGCATGTTCCAAGAATTCAAAAAAACATGCTACATATCATGATTTTATAATAAATTTAGTTACATTTATTCATTTTTTTAAGAAGTAATATATATTACTTGAATTATATGATTTTTTTCGTCATAATTAACAAGTAAGTGCTATCCAACATGGTTATTTTTTTGCAAAATATCCTCATCCTCTGAGCAGTTTTCTTATACTACCTACAGATCCGTGCATTATTTTTTGCAAAAATTTATATTTGCTTTTACTAAAATGATATTTATATATTTAACACGTGTAAAGTAATTTTTATTAAACTTTGATGCTCATTTTATTTAAAGAGTTGCTTAAGAATTATTTGATATATTGTTCGGATAATCCTAGAATTGTTTTTCGATAGAACGTACGCGCTCTAATAATATATATCAAATTATTTATCTTTTGCACTAGTTTCATCACATTTATTGAGCTATTGTACGGCGATTTTACTAATTTTAGATTAAATAAAGTTTGCTTTTCAAAGGTTTTACTATATTTCTTATTTTTTTAAAACTTTCCTCAATTCTTAAACCGTGTTATGTGAACCTGAAAGTAACGTGTTATGAGTGGGATGGTCTCAATTCTTAAACCGTGTTATAGAAGTACCGTGTTATGCGGGGGGTTACCTGTATCATTTAGCAGTTTAAACCAAAAGACACACCGAAAACTTTAGTAATGGTATGAATTCTTGCTCTACATGATTCTTATAATAATTATAAGAAAATTCTTGGAGGAAAATGAGGAAAATATTTTTAAAAACACTTCATTTATAACAAAAAATATTTATTATAATTCATGAAGGAAAATGAGGAAATTGTTTAAATAATAACATTTTATTTATTTAAAATTATAAATATTTATGAAAATACATGTTTTATGTAGGAGATGACTGGTCGCCACCAGTCTGCTTTTTTCGGCACATTTTTCTGATTTGTGGCAAAAATACATTATTGTAGACAAATATTCCGAGAAGTAGTACTGCGAAACCGATAACCTGGATAAAATGTTATAAATATACATATACATACATATATATATATATATATATATATATATATATTATATATATATATGTATGTATATATATATATATATATGTATATATATATATATATATATATATATATAATATATATATATATATATATATATATATATATATATATATATATATATATATATATATGATATTCAGTTTCCAGGGCAATACATCAATAAAAAATTTGTATGACTTTAAAACATTTTTATTTATTCCATACGTTTCGACACATTGTTTTGTGTCATCTTCAGTGGACACAAAACAATGTGTCGAAACGTATGGAATAAATAAAAATGTTTTAAAGTCATACAAATTTTTTAATTGATGTATTGCCCTGAAAACTGAATATCACATATTTCAACATCAAAATTATATAAAAAATTTAATATATATATATATATATATACATGGTCTGTTCAAAAAGTACCCGGAATTACTAATAATTAAATTTCGCGGGTCTGGAGTGTCTGATTGTCAAAATTTTTTTTTATTGTGTTGGTATACATGTCCCTAAAGTATGATGAAATTTTCAGCTATATTCACTGTTTACTTTGTCTGTGGTAGTCGCTAAGGTTCGACGTGTTTTTCTGAGCTCGGCGATTTTTACAATGGAAGAATTGAAAAAGTCAAAGAATTTGTATTAAATTTTGCGTAAAAAATGAAATAAAGTGTTGCAAAGTGCAAAAATTCACCAGATATGGCTCCGTGTGACTTTTTCCTATTCCCAAAGTTGAAGAGACCCATGAAAGGACGGCGGTTTTCCTCGATTGAAGAAATAAAGGCCGAATCGCCGAGAGTGCTCAAGGACATATCAAAAAGTGAATATCAAGGGTGCTTCGAAAATTGGAAAAAACGCTGGCATAAGTGTATTATATCTGGGGGGGGACTACTTTGAAGGGGACCACATTAATGTAGACGAATAAATAAATATTTTTTTGAAAAAACGAAAATTCCGGGTACTTTTTGAACAGACCTCGTATATTACATGTGGCCATAGGAAATCCTGCCACCCAACACAAATAGAAATCAGCCAAACTGTAACCGTCCTGATTGTGTTCAGGATCGATCTGGTAGTCGATGACAATTCCTTCGTCACTGTCAATCCGGTGAAGTTGAATAATAGAATCGAAAATTGCATACCTAGAGAATAAAAAATACATAACTAGTGGTGCATGGCATTGTGCCTTAAGGCAAGTTGCTAGAACTTCCCGTACTGCAACGAAATATTCGAGAAATTTTAAACGTTTTCAAATATATCATTACAAATACTGTAAATTTTATTATTTTTGCTATCTTGTTATATCTGAGTGAGCAAATCAAATGGAAATCATAAATCATAAATCTCCAGAATTTATCTCCAGAACATTAACAATCGTCATTTCAAAAAAAAAATAGTTGTCTAATTTACACAAAATTGAAAAACTGCTCCCGTATAGTCACAGTCTAAACGCATTTGCAAACAATTCTGTGCGTCATTTTCACTTATACTGCGCTTTGTTTGGCGGCATTTTCACATTTTTCAATATTTTTCACAAAATTGGAAAAGTGCTCCAATGCATAGACAGTCTAAACGCACTTGGGTAAACATTTGTACCAGAGTGTCGCTTAGACTGTGTTTTTTTGAATATTTTAACTTCCCGTAGGGTAGTTAAATGAAAATTTTTGCATTTCTCGACGTTTTAAAGGTTTCTGAACATTTTACTGGCATACCTTAGCAAAAATGGATGTATGTGTGTGTATATGTGTGCGGATACAATTTTTCGTCGACGATTTCGGGAACACCGATCAACGGATTTGAATAATTCAAAAACATTTGATTCGTATTGATAAGGAGACGTGCTGATTTGTTTTTGGCGAAGGCAGGTCTAGCCGTTCCGAAGATACGTGGCAAAAAGTGTCAAAAATAGCAACTCAGTTTTTTAAAGAACGGAGCGTCCGATTTTAATAATTCAAAAAACATTTTACTTGTATTGATAAGATGAAGTACTGATCAAATTTTCATAAGGGCGGGTCTAGCAGTTTCGGAAATCTAACGAAAAAAGTAAAAAAAAGTGCCATTTGGTGGTCAAAAATGATCATTATACATATGCACATTAGAGTATCAGATATTTTATAGAGATTTTAACAATAAGTATACATTTTGTTTGCATTTCTATGGGTTCCGTACCAATGTTTATCTGTTAGACGGCGACACGGCGCTTACACGCTTTGACATTTCGTCTCTATGCAGTTAAAGCAGTACGATTGCTTTGAAAAAAAATTCAGAATTTCCAAAATATGTGAAAATAAAAAAAACATTTTTTTCAATAATTTTTTTTTTAAAAAAAAGTAATTTTTTGTCAAATTTATAGTTTCTCAAAAATCTAATTTTGAAGTAATTTTTTTTTTCAAAAATGTTAATCTTTAAAAAAAAAATGGTACGGTAAGTTCCAGCAATTTGCCTTAAGGCACGATGTCATACACCAATAGTTAGATCATTCAAATCGGACGCTTAGTTCACTCAAAAACTGGCATTTTCTGCACTCTTTGCTCCGTATCTCCGTAACGGCTGGACCCGCCTTTGCCAAAAACTAATCAGCACATCTCCCTATTAATAAGAATCGAATGGTAAATGAATCATTTAAATCGGTTGATCCGTGCGCCCGAAGACGTGGACAAAAATTATATCTATACATACACACACACATCCATTTAGTTTCTAAGGTATGCCCTTTAAAAATGTTCAGAAACCTTCAAAACGTCGGAGAAACGCAAAAATTTTCACTTTTGATTGTCGGCGCTTTACTATAACTAGCCTTCGGGAAGTTAATAAACGTTATGAAGATTTTGTTTCTTGTTTTCCTTTACCGAAAAACGCAATCGAAATCTTCCAGTTCCGTATCAGTTTCAAAACTGCATCAGGAAAGTTTTCCATGGAGCAGTTTGAATTGTTGCACAGACCCATTGGCATCGGTATAAAATAAAGTGGTATGTGAAGAAGACCGCATACCACCAAACCGAAGACACCTGGAGGAAAAGGATTTTGGTCAAATATTTATGCAGAGATTGATTAAAATATTTATTTACCTTCCCATCCTGCTGCAGCCATTGGAGCAATGTCCAGTTTAACCAGTTTCTTCTCTTCGTACACGAACTGGATTGCTGCAATAAATTCGGACAGCAGGAGCAAAAAATCACCTAAGGAATAAAATGAAAAAGTAAAATACTAATCAGTAAATTTCCGATTATAGATTTACTCCAGTCAATGGAGCGTTTTGGATCTGAATTTTTGTACTGTGCTCCAATTTGCATGAAATTTTGGAATTAGGTTCATCTTTGGAATTAGACCAAATTTGACACCCCTTCTCAGTTGTGTAATTTCATTCTTCCAAAGTAACGTCAGATATCGACAGAGGAACTAATTATAAGAAAACAATATCTTCTAAAGTTTTTCAAAAAATCAAATACTTTTCAAGTTACTGGCTACTAAAAATTCATATATTTTTGGCGTTTTTCTTCGTTTTTTTGCAAAAATCTCCTAAAATATACATTTTAACGAAAATCATGTAATGAACAAAATAATGTCAATAAAAATCTTAATAAATCGGTATTACATAAAGTGTTCTAGGAAAAATATTAAGCAAGATTTGAAAGAGCAAAGTCGTTTTTTATTTAGTTCAATATTGAATCGTTGTATTTAAAGCTATCTAGCGGCGAGGTTTTACATTTTATGCATTTCAGTGAATTTGGGTTTTATATAGTGCTCAATATAAGCTTTAAAATAAGTGCTGTTACAAGTTTTTTGCGTGTAAAATGTGTGAGCTATCATGCAAATAAGAAGCATATACGATGTTTTTTTGCATTTAAATCATATGGTTTAATGTGCGCCATTTCCACCAAAATTAAAGTTATTCACATTCCACCTAGAATTCACTTCACTATAGACATCATGATGGATTCTAGCAGATTCACTACTTTAGTACAAACTATTTTAAAAAAACTCACGATTTTATAAAAATATTTCTTTCCGATTTTTTTTTTTAAATCGAACTTACTTTCATTATATCTCAAAAAGAATAAAAGATACGTATAAAAACATATAGATAAAAACCAAAAAAATCTTTTTGGTTTATTATTGCTTTCTATTATTTTTCAATATTTCAATTTTTAAAATTGTCAGAGTTATGATTGTTTAAAGAGTGCGCGGCCGCGCAATCAGAAGTTCTCTCGAGTCCTTTGACCCTTCGCCGTTTCAAAATGAGAGGAGTTACGAAAAAAATTATTATGAAAAAAGTTGTAGTCCTTTTATTTACCTTTCAAATGGTATATTACAAATTGTGGTGGAGTTGAAATTAAAGGAGTTATGATTCGAAAACTGATCGTATTTTTGTCGAATTATTATTATGATTATTTATTAACTGCTTTTATTCAAGGATAGGTTTAAGAGTATATATGGTAATTATTTTCGAGAAATTGAAGTAACATTTATATAATTTTGAATTTCTTAATTTTCTTTCAATTTCAAAATATTTTTTTCAAACAATTTTTCAATAAGAGGTTGTTTTTCAAGGGTCTAAAAAGAGTTAAAAATGTGATAAACAAGACAAAAAAACATAAAATATTATTCGCCTTATACGTAATTCTTATTGTATCATACTGAAATTTATTTTCAAGTGTTTTTTATTTTCAATTTAGAGGTTGTTTGAAGGGTTTTAGGGTTTTTGCGAGGTTGAAAATTATTTTATTGCAAGGTGAATGTATTAAAAAATACTTTTTAATTGTATCATTTAATATTAAAAACGTTTTCTAGCGATAAAATGGCTCAATGTCCACTTATTCATTAAGGGGAGACTAAATTGTTTTCACTGAGGGTAAGATGAACTTAATTCCGAAACTTCATGCACATTAGAGCACAGTAAAAAAATTCAGAGGTTATACCCTTTTTTTCTCTGCGTTTACTGCACTGATTTTGAAAAATTAACAATTTTCATATTTAAACCAGTTTCCGTAGGACTTTAATGGTTCAGTATGTTCATTAAGACCAAGTACTCTATCGTTATACTAAGTAAATTACCTATGACAACTTGAAAAGCATCATAATAAATGTCACTGTCTTTGGTGAAAAAAGAAATCGGTGACTCCAATCAAAACGAGTCCTGTGATCGTCAAAGTTACTCCGATCCATTCCCGAATACTGATCACCTGTTTTAGGAAGATCATACTCAGACCAGCAACGAAGATTATTGAAGAACCTAGAAAACAAAGGATTACAGATCTGTTGGAATTTATTGCGATTTTATGGGGCAATTCTGCCGTAACAGAGCTCATAAAATAGCTTTGTCATGGCAAGGATCTCTTATGCTTGTTCTTGGTAGTGAGAATTGTGAAAATGTCCATCTATTTGCTGTGCGATCAGGCGTATTTTACATATAAACAAGCAAGGAAACATGCATCATCGAAGATTCTGTTATCGTGACATTCTTCCTTGCTTTGTTTATATGTAAAATACGCCTGATCGTAAGGCAAATTACGAAATAGATAGGCATTTTCACAATTTTTACTGCCAATAAACAAGCACAACTGTAAGGTTTCCAATACCGTACTAAAATCTGAATACCGGTATTCGATATTTGAAATTTTTAATACCGGGATCTTGGTATTAATACCGATATTATCGATGAAAAAATTACTAGTCATATTTTTATTTGCCGCGGTTGTTATATTGACATATTAACATTATAATTGTTCTAAAATGAGTACATATTAATTATTTTATCACTCAGAGATAGGAGTAGATAGATACAAAAAAACTTGCGAGTGAACAATTATATATTAACTTCTATGTTACATTTTACATACAATAGGCTCGTATGAAATTATATATTTAACGAAAAACCAAATGCAGTTATTAACTTCCCGTAGGGTAAGTTATTTTAATGGGCCGAAAATCGAAATTGAAAATTTTTACATTTCTCGACGTTTTGAAGGATTCTGAACATTTTGGCATACCTCAGAAAAAATGGATGTGTGTGTGTGTGTATGTATGTGCGGATACAAATTTCCAGTCACGTTTTCGGGCGCACGGAGCAACCGATTTGAATGGTTTAAAAAACATTCGATTCCTATTGATAGGGGAGATGTGCTGATTAGTTTTTGGCAAAGGCAGGTCCAGCCGTTACGGAGATACGGAGCAAAGAGTGCAGAAAATACAAATCGAGTTTTTGAGAGAACGGATCATCCGATTTGTATGATCCAAAAAATATTCAGTTCGTAATGACGGAGAAAAGTGGTTATTAGTTTTTAGCAACGGTAGGCCCAGCGGTTTCGGAGATACAGAGCTAAATGTGCAAAAAGTGGCAGTTTTTGAGTGAACTAAGCGTCCGATTTGAATGATCTAAAAAAACTTTCTGCTTGTTTCAACAAAATAATTGCTTTTGAGGATAAAAAATTATTACATCTTTTTCTATTTTCCATGAAATATTATTGTAATTTTGATTAAAAATTGAAAAAAATGACCCAGGCCTAAGCACAGTCTAAGCGCCACTCTGGTACAAATGTTTACCCGAGTGCGTTTAGACTGTTACGTACTGGAGCGCTTTTCCAATTTTGTGGAAAAACTATTGAAAAATGTGAAAATGCCGCCAAGCTAAGCACAGTATAAGTGAAAATGTCGCACAGAATTATTTGCAAATGTGTTTAGACTGTGACTATACTTTTTGTAAATTTAGAGGTAACTATTTTTTTTTTGAAATTGAATTCGAAATGAAATGACGATTGTTAATGTTCTGAAGATAAATTGATTTATGATTTACATTTGATTTGCTCACATATAACAAACAAGATAGCAAAGTTAATGAAAGTTACAGTATTTGTAATAATATATTTGAAAACGTTTAAAATTTCTCGAACATTTCATTGCGGTACGGGTAGTTCCAGCAATTTGCCTTAAGGCACGGTGCCATACACTACTAGTTTTGGATGTGATTTAAAAATATTAGCAAACAATAAAAAGAATATCATTCATTATATATATTTTTGTTTCAATTAATTTATATAAGTATGAAAAGACTTTTTTTAAATATCATTCATTGATATTTATGAAACACTTACATTTGTAAAATGATGTAAAAATTTTGGATTTTCTCAAGAAAATGATATCAATAGGCGATGATATCATATTGTTTGATATTATTTTAAGTGTAATAAAATTATATTTTATTTTATACCTCGCAAAAAATTAGATAGACGTCTTCACAATTTTTACTGCCAATAAACAAGCATAAGAGAGCGTTGCCATGACAAAACTATTTTATGTTTAATCCTTTACCTCTGATCATCTGGTAGCTGGAAGGATAAGTCATGGTGATGGCCACAAAATCGATTGTCGATGCACACATGTCGCACATTGCCGGAAAGAGTAACACCCAGCATTTGTAGTCGCGGTTGCCTCTCAATAAGGTGTTCTTGTCGATGGCGTCTTCCTTGAACAAAAACAGGACAAGTTGGTAAAAGATAAATTTGTATGTCCCAAGTTTGTAGCCTAGTTAGATCTACTTTTTACCCCTTTTTTGCTGACTATTTTGTATGAAACGTGGTAGATGATGAGACAGTAAGCCATTCCCATGAACATGTCAAGGGTCACGGTGAAGGAATGGTCGAAGGATCTCGATGTGCCGTCCATTCCAGGAGCCTCTTCCATGTCTAACCATCTGGGAAAGGACAAATGTAAATTTTTTATTAACTTCCCGAAGGAGAAGTTTATGTTTTCATCAAAAAATTCGATACGCTAATTTTATGTATCTCATCGTGTTTGGATGTTTTTTCGTTTTATTATATTGGCCATGAAGGTGACAAACCTCAGGGCATTAAGCTTTACACGGAATGATTGCTACCCCTGGTAGAGGGGGTAGCGGAGTGTTTTAATTGAACTAGTGGTTCACTTCTAAAAGTAAAGTCCGCTTAACAACACGTAAATAACCAATAAAAATGAATATATCTTCTTTCATTATAACTTAGTAACAAATCAGTGATTTTAATTAGAACTGCAACAAATACATAATATACAAACAAATCAGTGTTTAATACAGTCTACAGCTACAAGGGTTAAATTATAACCCAACAACCTGAATTATCGAAGGAGAGTTTTAATAAATTCTATAACTACGTAACGTAAAGTACACACCGTTTCAAGACATTCTGAATCGAATGAGACTAACATTTGCAAAAAGTATGTGTGTGTGTATGAACAGATTTTTTGCCGTAAATCGATGTTTTCTCAAAAACGGCCGAACCGATATCAAAAATTTAAAAGCCATTCGAAGTATCTCGACGAGGACTATCGTTTGTCAGTTTTGTGCGACGATCGGCTAAGACGTTTCTTTATAAAAAGCAGAAAAGTGAAAAAAAAAATCGTCCACGTTTTAGCCCGCAATACTGAATCGAATTTGAAAATTCGAAAACTGTTCGAAAGATATTGGTTGGGAATCGTGCTGATTAGTTTTTGGTAAAGGTCGGCCAGGCCGTTTTCTTGTAATAAAGTTTTTAAAAAAAAAATCGACGATTTTTATGATTTTTATTTTGACGGTAGATACCATAGTCTTATAGATCATACTAAAATATTACGGCCCTACAACAACTTGTTTAACTTTAAAAATTTTTCAAAGTTTGCAAAAATTAGTGTTGTTTTTTTGGCATTTATCAAAATTAGACCTTTGATCGACGTTTTCTCGAGAACGCCTGAACCGATTTTAGAAATTTTAAAAGCCATTCGATGTATCTCAATAAGGACTATCGTATCTCAGTTTTGTGCGACGATCGGCCGAGCCGTTTCTTTGTAATTTGCGAAAAAGTGTTAAACTTTTCGTCCACATTTAAGCTCATACTACCGAATCGATTTTAAAAAATCAAAAACTGTTCGAAAGATATTAGTTGGGAATGATACTGATTAGTTTTAGGTGAAAATCTACCGAGCCGTTTTCTTGTAATTAACTGTTGAAACAAAATTTAAGCCGATTTTTATGGAACTTTTTTTGGCGATATATCATGGTCTTATAGAGCTTACTAAAATATTACGGCCTTACGACAAGTAGTTTAATTTTAAAAAATCATCAAAATTTTGAGAAAATGAATAGTTTTTTTGACGTTTGTTAAAATTAAAATTAGATGATTTACTTGGTATAACGATAGACTACTTGGTCTTAATAAACATACTAAGCCATTAAAGTCCTACGGAAACTGGTTCAAATATAAAAGTTGTTGATTTTTTGAAAATTTGCTTTTAGAAAATACTCCGAGTTAACGTGTTCGTTCGTTTTCAATTACGTGTGATAAATCCACTCGGAATACTTTTAAACACTCATGAATTAATTTAATTTTTATTGATTAAGTCGATTATTTACACATATCGAGAAGTTCATGTAACTTGCCTCAAGGCAAAATACCAATACCAACTAGTTTATATTATTCTCTCACTTTGCAAACAGCGTATTGCAAGTCCCCGTGACGACCATAACCAATATCAAAATGATATGGAACTTGCTCCAGGCCATAATTAACAATTAATTTGTGCTAATTCACAAAAAATCATTACATTTTTATTACAATTTAATGGAAAAATTAGCGCGAACTTAAAATTTTGACAAATTTCACTAAAACTTTGACATTAACCAAATATTTGACATGTTCCATTTGACGTTTGATGAAGGCAAAATATTAATTAAAATAATATTATTAGGTAAATAGTATTAGTATGTGCAAAATTTTAATATAACTTGGTGTTAGTAACATTTTGTCTTATGATAGACTTGATCGACTAGAAAAAAAAAAGAGTGCGCGTAAGGTTCACACGCGTTTGAAGTAAAACTTATTTGCTACTGTACAAGATGACATTTAAGTAAAAATAAATACGTCAAATAACAATTTTGAATAATGTTCATTAGTAATATGGTAACACTCGTGATGCACACATTTATTAGTGTCGAACAATATACACATTTATATAATGATAAATTATAAATTATATATTTATAATGGCATTAAAAATGTGTATAATATTTAAAAACAATAATGGAATTAAAGTCATACTTCAAATATGACATAATCGGTTTGTCATTGTAATTAGCAATTAGAAATGAACCTTCATTAGAGAAATGAAGTAATTGCTGATTAATAAATTCTATAATATTTGTTCACACAGTGGATTTTGTTAAACAAATATTGTTTTCGCAACTTCACTCATCATGTAATAATTGTGTTTGAAGAACTTTATGTAATTAAAATTAACATACATTCAATGACTGATTGTATTTTTTTTACTTTTTGCTAAAAACTACTTTCCAAAGATTTATAGAAACTACGAATAATATACAAATAATTTCTAATCAATAAACTTACGTTTAGTACACGGCCCAAATGTTCAATTTGTTTTATTATTTTCAAGAAACAGTGTAAAATATTCTTCTTATTCATTCTTTTTTTTCGACATACAACGACAGATCTCTATTGACATACACGACGACCAATCACAATCGACCCGTATAGAAATGATATCATCGAGAGCGAATGACTTTTTAAAATGCTGTAATCATAGTATAGCATATTTCAATATGTCTACTACAGATACAGAAATTAAAATCGATGAGTTTTCAAACAAATATTTGAGATGTTTCAAATTTGAAATGATAAAAGTGCCCTCTAGAAATTATAGATGTGTTTTGTGCTGATAGAGTAAAGATTAGAATTTTTTTTAAAATAGTTGTAGATATTTTATAATGTTGTAATTTTAGTATGTCATACTCTATTATGTCTACTATCCTAACAAATACTAAAATCGGCGAGTTTTCTAATAAATATTTGAGATATTTAAATTTTATGAAAAAAGTACACTCTAAAATTTATATACGTATGTGATTTCAAGTGACACGCTGAAGGAGTAAAGTTTAGAAATTTGTTGTAATTTTTGTATTTGTTTTAGAATGTTGTAATCTTAGTATGTTATACTCTATTATGTCTACTATCTTAACAAATACTAAAACTGATATGTAATCTAACAAATATTCGAGATATTCAACATTTCATAATAAAAGTACCCTCTAGATTCTAGAGTCTAGAAAATATATATGTGTTCCGTGCTGAAAGAGTAAAGATTAGAATTTTTTTTAAAATAGTTGTAGATATTTTATAATGTTGTAATTTTAGTATGTCATACTCTATTATGTCTACTATCCTAACAAATACTAAAATCGGCGAGTTTTCTAATAAATATTTGAGATATTTAAATTTTATGAAAAAAGTACACTCTAAAATTTATATACGTATGTGATTTCAAGTGACACGCTGAAGGAGTAAAGTTTAGAAATGTATTGTAATTTTTGTATTTGTTTTAGAATGTTGTAATTTTAGTATGTTATACTCTATTATATCTACTATCCTAACAAATACTAAAACTGATATGTAATCTAACAAATATTCGAGATACTCAACATTTCATAATAAAAGTACCCTCTAGAAACTATATATGTGTTGCGTGCTGAAAGAGTGAAGTGTAGAGAATTTTTTTAAATAATTCTGTATATTTTAGAACGTTGTAATTTTAGTATGTTATACTCTAATATGTCTTCTATCCTAACAAATACTAAAATCGACGAGTTTTCTAACAAATATTTGAGATATTTAAATTTTATGAAAAAAGTACACTAGAATTTATATTCATATGTGATTTTAAGTGACACGCTGAAGGAGTAAAGTTTAGAAATTTATTGTAATTTTTGTATTTGTTTTAGAATGTTGTAATTTTAGTATGTTATATTTATCGATTGGCACTCGACTCTTATCTTATCTTATCTGCCGTAACGCACTTCCGTTGCATTTATATGGATTTACACCCTAGTCGCGCCTAAAGAAGTTGTATTTTAATAAATATATTATTAAATGAGTGAGTTATAAGTTATTTTTGTCGGCCGATTTGAAGCATGATGATGCCGATAAACTTGTTATCGAAACGTCGAATGGTGATGATAAATTGTAATGTATATATTTGTATTTGTGCAAGTGTATAAGTGTATCTATTTATATAAATCGTACTGTTTCAAGTTCCGTAAATATGTACACAAGTCACGGAGCGAGATGTAGGTCATTGGCTACGGGCACATGTTTGTACATATTATACACATAAATAGTTTTTATATATATATATATATATATATATATACATATATATATGTATATACAGGGTGGCCCAGAACTCAACGTCTATCCGAAACGAGGTGATAATATTGACCCCAAATGACCCTAACAGCCCTGAAAAAAATAGAAAAACTATTTCTTGTGTATGGCATCGTGCCTTAAGGCAAATTGCTGGAACTTCCCGTACCGTAACGAAATGTTCGAGGAATACTGAATGTTTTCAAATAGATTATTATTGATATTGTAATATTGTCGAATATATATAAGAATTATATAAACTGGATCGCAAAGTTGAAATTATTTGTTCAAAGTATATTAGAATTTTGGTCAGAATTAAAAATGAAATCTGAATTATTTTCGATATACAAAAAAAAAATTGAATCATTTTTTTTTCCAAAATCAATTATTTTGTTAAAACAAGCAGAAAGTTTTTTGAATCATTCAAATCGGATGCTTATTCTCTCAAAAACTGCCATTTTTTGCAAATTTAGCTCTGTATCTTCGAAATGGCGGAAC